GGGAAAGATTAATTCCCTGTTCAACAACTATTAACAGGATTGAAGTGTAGAAATTAAGAAACCTTAACTAAATTGGATTGGAGTCGGCAAGGCCTGTAGGGGGAGCTCTCACACCCTATCATATATCCTCAATTACACCAAACAGGAAGAGGGGGAGGCTTGCACCTTGGACAGGAAGTAAAACTACTTTACTACTCAAGGAAGATTTCTCTCCCCACCCGGCAACAGCCCAACCAATGAGAAATGCCACAACCCAACCAATGAGAAATGCCACAACTCAGCCAATGAGAAGCTGTTGCCGCCCTGAACTGTTACTTTCTCCCAAAGGACTTTCACTTAGAACAGCCCCTCCCTACTCCCCCTTTTCCTCTACAAAAGCAGCTCCCCTCCTTTCTTTTCCAGATTTGCCTATGGTTTGCCATAGCATGCACATCCCAAATTGCAATTCTTTTGGCTATTCCTGAATAAACTCATTTTGAGGGTAAAATACCAGGAAAATTTGCTTTTTAAATTGACAGGAGTAACAAGAGTTTGACTAGTAAGTAAAGAGAATACTAAAGAATGCGGGAATTGCAGGTATAGCGAGCAGCCACCACCCCCAGGGCTGGAATTCCACAGCACTCCATTGGAAGGTGCTGGCTGCTGGGCACTGCTGACTGCCACGTGCTGTAGGAACTGGAAGCTGGAGAAGCCATCCTCTGCAGGAGCCAGGTGCTGGAGAAAGTGCTTGGCTGGAGCCCAGCACTGGAGAAAGGTTCATCCTGCAGGAGCCTAGCACAGGAGAAACTAAACTTCATCCTGCAGTGTTTTCATGGGTTTTATTACTATTTAGGTATCATAAGGCCAACAGATCAGGAGACAATGGCTACTGAAAAGACAGTATGTTATACTCACAGATCCCAAGAGGAGGGCACATGCCACACCACTGGGGGCCACTCGGGAAAGCACTGGGATCAGTCACAAGGCAGAGGGAGAGGGGAAAACTGTGAGCAAGAGCCTTTATTGTGGTTTCTGAGGGAAGAGATGGGTGACACAGGGCAAGCAGGTTTAGGATTGGCTAGTTTGAGTAACTTTAGCAGGATCTGGAGCATAGGCGCTGTTGCTACTTGCCTAGTACCTGGCCCTGGGGTGATTAAGGCAGGGGGACAGTGGCCTGAAGTGTGAAAGCCCATAAAAGAGGTGGCTGGGGAGATGGGCTCTGGATTGGTTGGTCTGCATTTGTAAAGCATGCTCCACGGGTGAATTATTTACTATCTGTAAGAATTAGCTACCCCTAGGAGGGACAGTCAAAGCATCAGAAATTACAGAAAATAAAAGACATGCTTAATACATGAAGAAGCACAGCACAGAAGACACAGTGTGCTCAGGAGCCAAGACCTGGAGGAAGCTGTGCTCTGCAGGAGGCTAACAAGTGAGGCACACCAGCACCTGGAAGGGAAGCCCCTTACTACTCCAGTATTTCTCCAGCATCTTCTACTGACAAGGATTAACACTGTGCCAGTTGGTAGGGAGAAATACTGACAAAGTCCACCTCCATTATCACAGAGCAGTTAAAGAAGGGTGGATTTGGGGCTGAGAGGCAATCAGTTGAAAACCGGCACAGAGACTCATGGAATCATTGGATGAGAAGACATACTACGGCACTCAGTTTCTTCCTATTTCCAATCCACATCCCACTTGATGACTGAATTCTCCCTACAAGATCCTATCGGGCACTGCTCCTACAGGTGTAGAGGCAAAGAAAGAGGGCCCCACATTTTCAGCATACTCTTGTCCAAAGTCTCAATCAATACAACAACAAGGCATTCCGAAGGAAGCTGACTCCATAATCAGTGACAAATTATTTCAAAGGCATCTATTTAATGATGCAATTTGACCAAAATGCTGATATTGCCTAAAATAGTAGTTCCTAAACACTTGGTGCTGGACTAGCTGCACAAAACTGCCTGGGATGCCTTTTAAAAATTTTTCTTCTTTTTTTTTTGAGCAGTTTTAGGTTTATAGAAAAACTGAGTGGAAAGTACAGAGAGTTCCTATATACCCCTCACAGCCCACCCTCCCCCAGTTTCCCTTATTATCAGTCTTGCATTAGTGTGGCACACTAGTTACAATTGATGAGCCAATATTGACACATTATTAATAACTAAAACCTATTGTTTACATTAGAGTTCACACTTGGAGTTGTACATTCTATGGGTTTGGACAAATATATAATGACATTTATCCATCGTTCGAGTGTCATCCAGAGGAGTTTCACTGCCCTAAAAGTCCCCTGTGCCCCGCAGGGTTCTGGTCCTGGGACTTGTCAGGATGGTCCTGGTCCCATTCCATGATGTGGTCCAGTGGTCCAGCTCACCTCTGGCCACATCTGCTCCCACGCCCCTCCCCTGGCCAGCCCAGGGCGTTTCAGGTGGGGTGTGGTGGGTGTTCCTCCTTCCACCTCTCCTAGCACAGCTGACCCTCTTCACAGCCTGCCTCCTGGGACCCCAAAGCCCTCTCCTGCCTGGCTCCTTTCCAAATCCACCTTTGAGTCTGGGGGTGTCTGAGGCCTGTGGGAGCCTACTGGTGACCACCCCTGCCATCCGCTGGAGGCTTTCGTCTGCTCAAACTCTCTGCTGGGGACACCAAGGTCCTAGCTGGTTCTGTCGGTGGCTGAGAAGACTCTCCTTCCCCCACTCTGGCTTGGCCTCAGAAAGAAAAACCTCAGAGTCACCCTGACCTGGCCATCAGTTTAATCAAACCTTTGGCATTATACCAGGAAGTGCTTGAAAATAACTCATCATCATAGCGATTTGTCACACATTCACACGGCAATGATTATTATTTACCAGCCACGAGGAGACTCACCAAAAGGCTACATCACGTCGTGCCAGCTCTCCCTGATTGACAACTGTCCTGAAAGGGGATTCTTATCTGGGGACCTCCAAATACAGATATATGCACAAGAACATCGGCACTGGGAACTGAGTGGTTGTCAGTGGGGAGAGAGGCAGGGCAAAGCCCCACCCTGTGCAGACCCATGAGGCCAGGTTGGGGAGAGAGTGGGCAGAGCGGGCAGCAGGGGTGATAGGGGCGCCGGGATGAGCCCCAGGAGGAGGACAACACCAATCCCTACACGGGCATTCGACAGCCGGCCTCCTACAAGAGACGCATCACAGTCCTGAGGGGATTGAGGGGTGCAGCAGAGGGGCCTAAGAGTGCAGGGGGCATGCAGGAATTCCTGCAGCCAGCTTCCTGTGGGGCGGCTCCTCTTTCGAACACCTCCACCCCTGCCCAGGGCCTCGAAGGCACAGAATCTGGCATCTCACCTCTAAGGGTCCAATGTGCACGCTTTAAGTCCCTGGGTGAGGAAACAGCGTGGTCTGTGTCCCATGTTGTCACGGCTTGAGAATTAACCCACGGCCCCTGTGCTGCCTTCTATAAGAACGGCTGTGACAAACAATGCATCTGCTCCCATTGGTGGCAAAGGGTCCTCACAGGACCCTACCTAAGTACAAGAGGACTGGTAGTGGGGTGTCCCCATCAGTCCAGGGAGGAGAGGAAGACGAGATGTGGAGGAGCACTTGATGTTTCTCCAACGTCTATCAACATAGTCACTTCTAGTATGATTCTGACCCCAGCTCCTACCACTCTCTCCTCTGGAAATTTCTGGTTTCCCTGACATCTCAGAGCGTTTGCAGCTTGATTGGAAACTGAATAGAAACTCCACCCAAATCGCAGCTCTGCATAGTTTCCTCCTTGAGGCTATATTATTCAATTTCAGCGTGGGGTCTTCCCTAGCAAGGTGCACCTAACTCAAAGCTCCCAGAATTCCCATCAGAGACCACCCCCTTCCCTCTTTTGCCACCTCTCTCTTCCATGCAAACCCCCTATTTTCATCCATGTAACCCCACTAAAATCCAGCATTGCTTACAAATGACCAAAATAAACTCTAGGGAGCTGAAATCAACGGTCATTTCAAAGGAGTCAGTTCTGGATTTCCCAGGCCAGGGAGGAGGGCGCCTGTTCACTGACTTCCGGGCATCACTTCAAGGAGCAAGAACCTTATTTCTCAGGAAATCCTTGCAGATGATGAGTATTAAACACCTCGTTCCTCACTGTTGTTCGACTGCAATGTGACAAGGGCCCAGGACACCTTCCCTTCCTGCCCCAGGTGGAAATTTCTCTCTGGTTTACCCGGGATCTAAAAGAAACTTTTCAGATCAATTTTCCACTTCAGACTTTCCTCTCAGCCCTAACACACACAGTCTGTGAGTCTGGCTGCTGCCAACACCCAGCTTCATTATAATCAACTCCCACAGAAGGAATCGCAGTTTCCCAAAGTCCCACACTGCCCTAGCTCGGGGCATTTACTTGAGTGCTCTCCCCTGGGGCCGCACCACCGCTCACCTTCTTCTTCTGTTCTGGACGGGACACTACACCACCTTCCTTCTAGGACTGGGGCTCCTAGACTCTCAGTCTGTGGGTGGGGGGCGTCCTCCTTTCCCTCCTTTCCTGACTACTAACACAGGGCCTTCCAGAGAGCAGAGGCTCAGAAAAAGTCTGGGGAAGAAACGAGCCAGTGAGCAGGGGTCTTATTTACTCAGATGAAATTTCTCCAACTTTCTTGAATTACCCAAGTGAATCTGGGTATACACATACCTTTTAGCTTGACAGAACGACAGAAGAGAGCAGATAAGAAGCCAAGAATTAAGTACCTTCTACATTTATTTTTCTATTTCCCGACCCCATCAATTTGACTGCTAAGTTATTTCACATTTTCTAGTTCAGATCACAGACTACGATGGACGATGTCCCAATGACTTTTACAAAACAGCAAAACTCTTCCTCTTGGACGGGGTAAGTACAAATTCATATGTGGTCAATGTCATTCGCAAACTTAGATGCTGAAGCTAATTAAACCTTCTATTAAAGGGAACTCATTTGAAAAATTCGTAAGGAAACCAAGATCCATCATAGAGAACAGGAACCCAAAGACACTATCCACCATGTCCCCCCACCTCGCCGTGGCCCTCCACTACTTAGGACGCTGACTGCTCTCTCTTCAAACACAGAGTGAAGAAGCAGCCTCACTTCATGCCCGGCAGGAGAAGCTGCTGGACGTGGGCCTGGACCATGCATGGGTGCAACTCTGGCTCAGGCCCCCTCTTCCTCATCGCTCACAGCCTCTTCAGACAGGTGGAGGAAGGAACCAGGATCCTTGCTATGGACTCTGAGCAAATACTCCAGGACTTTCATTTTGCTGGTTTCAGCGTGGGCCCTGGGACCCCACAGGAACTCGTAGCGTGCAGGATCGCTGTCGGGCACCTGCCGGTACTCCACGTACTGTTCCTGCACCCAAACTTTGGTGAGGAGCTCCCTGGGCTCCCCGTAGATGAAGTGCTCCATCCCGGCACACACCCCCATGACACTCAGCGCCTCCCAGACATCCTCCTCAGGGGCGCAGTCACCCTCCAGGAGGATCACGCCCAGGAGCAGCACCAGGAGGCCGGTCTTGGGCATGCTCTGCTCACCACTCAGCATCCCATCGTAGGTGAGGCCCAGCGTGGTGACCAGGACATAGGAGTGGTCGCTGGGGTCCACTTCCTTCACGTCAATGCCAAAGACCAGCTGCATGCACTCAGAGGCTTGGCTGAAGATCACAGGAAAGTGGTCCTGGTAATCTCCGATGACCAGATTCAGCATTTCCGCCTTTGTGGTCGCCTCCTTTGTACGATACTTCAGAAGCAGGAACGCCACCAGGTCAGCCATCTTCAGGTGTAGTGCTTCTTGGAGCGAGGACTCGGCGTCTTCCAGGTCCTCCCAGGCGCTTTGCCCCTCCTCATCCTGGCTGCTGGAGCCATCGCCTTCGGATTGGCTCCATGGAGCAGCTGCCGTGGCAGTGGGGGAGGGCCAGGCACTCTGAGGGCTCTGGGGAGGACTCGGGGTCACAGCAGCAGCCACCTCCTCCAGGGTGCCCAGGAACAGGACAGAGGGGGAGGAGGAGAGGGAGGAGGAGGGAGATGTGTCCTCCTCCTCCTCAGCCCCGGACAGCTGCACATCTACCAGGCCCTGGGCCTCTCTTGGGTCCTGATGGTCTTGCTCACACTTGCAGTGCTCACTCATCTGACCTAGAGGCATGATGATGCGTGTCTGGCAGCCGGCAGGAGCGTGGGCAGGACGTGACCGATGGGGACCCACAGGCCTGGGGGAGAGAGGGAGTGTGAGTGGACTCAGCTGAGAAACGCAGCCTCGGTGGCTCTGACAAAGGCGACTTACAGGTGTCCTCTTTAGGGATGCTCTTGGCTTCACAGGGCTCTGTCCTCCTGGGCGGCCTGTGCCCTATGAACCTGAAGGAGGAAGTGAGACGGCTCCTCAGGGTGCACCCAGCACAGCCTGAGGTTCTAAGGACGCCAGTGGGGTGGGGTGGGCTCGGGCGCTGTGGGGTCTCCTTGGTTTCGGCATGGGGGAGACCCTGGGTACACGTTCAGGGTGTGTATCTCACCTTGACTCCTGGCGCTGCCTGGGCCTCCTCTGCTCTGTGACCTGAGGACAAGAGCCTCAGACCAAGGGCTTCACCTGCGGGTTCCTGGAGCCCCTGTAAGAGGAAACGAGGGGCCACTTCAGGGTGCAGACTGCAAGCAGAGCCCTGGGCCCCCAGTGCTGACAGGAGTGGCGGGCCGGATTCTGTGAGGTCCCCACTGTTCTTGGGTGGGTGGTCCCCTCCGTGCTCACTCAGGGTCCTCACCTTCCCCCTGGCAGCCCCTGGGCCCCACCCCTCTGCTGCCCTGAGGCAAAACTCTCAGAATACCACCACACACCCCTGAGACTGAACAGAAGGAAGTGAGGGGGCCCACATCAGGCCACATCTGCCCAAGGGCTAACAGGAGGCACCAAGGGACAATAAGGGGTGGCCAAACTCGGTGGGTTCCACGTGTCCTGGGATGGGTGGTCTGGCCAGTCTTCACCTTGACGCCCTGAGGGCCTGGGACAATTCCCTCTGTTGACCTGAGGCCACCCTCCTTAGTCAAAGGCCTCGTCTCCTGAAGACACAGGAAGAGGAAGTGAGGGGGAATCAATCCACCCCCTGATCCCGGGTCTCACCATGGCAGACAGAAGGGTAGAGGAGGCCTGGGCTCCATGTGTCCTGCTGAGTGGGTGGGTGGGGGTCCCCTCAGTCCTCACCGTGACCCCTGCCAGGGCCTGGGATCCTGCCTCAGCTGATCTGAGAACAGAGCCTCAGACCAAGGCCCTCACCTTCCCGAGACCACTGGTCTGGAAGTGAGGAGGGGCTCAGCCAGACAGGCCCTGCTGGGGGGTTTCCAGGGCTGACATTAGGGGCAGGCCAGATTTCTGAGGGGCCCCCTCTTTGTCCTTGGGATTGGGGTACACTCACTGCTCCCTCGGGGTCCTCACCTTGACTCTTGGCGAGAACTGGGACTCTTCTCTCAGCTGACCAGACGTGCTTCCTCAGATGACCTGACGTCGTCCTCTCAGACCAAGGTCCTCACCTGCCTGAGGGCTCTGAGAGAAATGGGAGGAGGCACCACATCCACGCCCACCCCCCACCCCCCACATCCCCCACCAGGATCACAAAAGGCTGGCAGAGGGGACCAGCCCTTCTGTCCTGGGTGGGGGTTCCCTCAGACCTCCTGTAGGTTATTCGTCTTTTCTCCTGCCAGGGCCTGCCCTTCTTCCCGGCCCCCCACCTGGGACAGCTGACATCTCCCTCTGAGCAAGACCTCTCCTCCCTGAGGACTCCCCACATTCCCACCCATGGTAGAAGTGAGCATGCCATTGAGGACCACCGCCGACTCTTCCTTCCAGGGCTGAGAACAGGGGACAGCAGGACTCTGTGCCGGCCTTTCTTTTCTGAGGTGAGGGGGGTACGCTCAGTCCTCATGAAGGATCCTCACCTTGACACCTGACAGATCCTGGGACTCCTCCCTCTGCTGACCTGATGTCACCACTCAGACCAAGGCCTCACCTCCCTGAGATGCCCCATCCCCAACCACGTGGCAGAAGTCAGAGCAGGGTACATCCAGCCATCCTTGTCCGGGGCCTCCCGGGGGCTGAGAACAGGGGAAGCTGGCCTCTGTAAGTTTCCTTCTCTATTGGGGTGGGGGGAACATCCATGCCCTCTGTTCCTCCCAAAGGGTCTTGTTTGGCATCCTGGCAGATCCTGGGACTCCTTCCTCTGCTGACCAGATGTGGCTGCCTCTGCTCACCTGACACCGTCCCTCAGAACAAGGCCTCACCTCTCAGAGAGCCCGAGGCAGAGGTGAGTGAGGATGTACCACCTGCGGCCACCCCTGCCGGGGGTCTGCAGGGGTGATGGGGGGCAGGGCCGATTTCAGTGAGGTTGTCCTCTGGCTGTGGAGGGAGTCCCCTCAGTGTGCTCAAGGTATTCATACTTACTCCTGGCCAGGCCTGGATCCACCCCTTCTGCTAACCTGAGGATGTGTCCTGCAGGCCAAGGCCACCATCCCGCTGAGACCCCGAGGAGCAAGTGGACAGGCCACTCTCCTGACATCCTGCCTGGCCTCCAGGGACTGACCATGGGGCAGATTTCTGTTGGGGTCGCCTATGTCTAGGCTTGGGGTCTTCTCAGTCCTCCCTGGACTCCACCCTCTGCTGACCTGAAGCCACATTCCTCACCTCCCTAAGACCCCCGAGGCAGAAGGCAGCAAACGCCTCCTCGGGTCATCCTGCCCTGGGGCCTCCCCAGACCAGCACAGGGCCACAGGATCCCTGTCTGTCCTGGGGTCCAGAGTCCCTCAGGCCTCCCTCAGCGTCTCCCCTTGACTTCCAGCAGGCCCTGGGCCGTCCCCTCTGCCCCCCTCAGGCCCTGCTCCCTGGACCAAGTCCCCGGTCTCTCTCAGTCATGGATGTGGAAGTCGGAAACACGGCCTGTGCTCATGGCACCCTGGCGCCTCCTGGGGCTGCCGGCAGGGCCGTGTTTCTGTGGGGCCCCCTCTGTCCTCCCTCAGGGTCCTCCCCTTGAGCCCTGGCAGGTCCTGGGATCCTCCCTCTGTGGATCCGAGGCCCTCACTGGCCGGAGAGCCCTGGGGGAAGTCTGTGGAGGTCACCTCATGCCACTAAGCACGGGGACGCCCAGGGCTGATG